TATGAGAATTCTACAAGAAAATGTTGGAAAAACTCTTATGGACATTGGCCTAGGCAAAGAATTTATGAAGAAGACCCCAAAGGCAATCACAGCAACAACAAAAATAAATAAATGGGACCTGATCAAATTAAAAAGCTTCTGAACAGCCAAGGAAACTATCACAAGAGCAAACAGATAACCTACAGAATGGGAGAAAATATTCACTTGTTACACATCTAATAAAGGGCTGATAACTAGAATACATATAGAACTCAGGAAAATCAGCAAGAAAAAATCTAACAACCCCTATCAAAAAGTGGGCAGAGGACATGAACAGAAACTTTTCAAAAGAAGATAGACTAATGGCCAGCAAGCATATGAAAAAATGCTCAACATCTCTAATCATCAGGGAAATGCAAATCAAAACCACACTGTGATATCACTTATCTCCAATGAGAACGGCCTTTATCAAAAAATCCCAAAACAATAAATGTTGGCGTGGATGCAGAGAAATAGGAACACTCATACATTGCTGGTGGGACTGCAAACTAGTGCAACCTCTAAGGAAAGTAATATGGAGACACCTCAAAGAACTACAAGTAGAACTACCATTGGATCCAACAATCCCATTACCAGGCATCTACCCAAAGGAAAAAAAGACATTCTATGAAAAAGACATCTGCATTCAAATGTTTATAGCAGCACAGTTCACAATTGCAAAGATGTAGAAACGACCCAAGGGCCCATCAATACATGAGTGGATTAATAAAATGTGGTATATGTATACCATGGAGTTCTACTCAGCCACAAAAAACAATGGTGATCTTGTTTTATACTGGATAGAGCTGGAGCCCTTTCTACTAAGTGAAGTATCACAAGAATGGAAAAACAAGCACCACATGTACTCACCATCCAATTGGTATTAACTAATCAACACTTAAGTGCACATATAGTAGTAACATTCATTGGGTTTTGGGCAGGTGGGAGTGAGGAGGAAGGGAGGGGTATATTCACACCTAATGGGTGCAGTGCACATCATCTGGGGGACGGACACACTTCAAGCTCTGGGTAGGACAAAGGCAATGTATGTAGCCTAAACATTTGTACCCCCGTAAGATACTGAAATTAAAAAAAATGAATATACATTCTGTTGGGGTTAAAAGAATATTGATACTAAAGGCACAATTACATTTTTAATTCTTTAAAAAAAAGAAGTCAATAAATATTTGAGAAACATATAAAATGAGATGTAGTACCTAGACTTTTGGCTTCATTTGTGGCCTGGCTGGCCGTATTATCTCCTGTTTTTTATGTTTCTTGTTTGGACAAGATAATCCAGGGAGTCAAGGAAATACTCTCTGCAAATAAAACAAATGTGATCCAGTCTTAACTTTGATTTTGTAAAATGCTCTTTGGGTAGTTTTATGGTTCAACTTCCCGAGTACTGAACCCTACTTTCTTCTCCTATCAAAATGAACTATGAAGAAAGACTGTCATCCAGCTTAGAGGTCGTGGTAATGTACGGGAAACACTACCTGATGCAATGTCCAAAAACCTGCACTTCAATTTCCCAGCCTTACTACTTCTTAACTACATGAGCTGGGAAAGTGGCCTCACCTTTCAGAGTCTGATTTTTCATTTACAACATAGGTATATGTCTATGTTCCTATTTCCTACTATCTTACAGGTATGTTGAATAAAGTACCATAAGGCCTTATACAAATGTAAGGAACAAATTTTATTTTAATATTGTTATTATTCCTTCAGCAATTATTAGATAAAATAGATGTAATTTAACAAAAAAGCTTTTTATTTCGGAAAGTTGCATTTATAAAAGTAGAAAGACTGCATAATGAACTATATACACTTTTGCCAACCACCAACTTTAATGCTGATCAACTGAAGGCCAATCTTTTCTCATCTGTACCCCCATCTACTTTTCTCCCCCACCACAGATGATTTTTGAAACAATATAAGACATTGTATGATTTCATTTGTAAGTATTTTAGTATGTATTTCTAAAAGATAAGAACTCTTTATTTTAAACATAATTGTAATATCAGCATCATAACTAAGAAGTTTTTATTTAATAACAGTAAATATTCAGTGTTTAGATTTCCTCGATTGTCTCATAATATTCTGTACAGTTTGTTTATTTGAATCAGGATCAAAATAAGATCCGTATGTTGCAATTGGTTGATATGTCTTTAAAGTCTCTTAATCTATAGATCTTTCTCCATACATGAAGAAAATCTTTCCTTTCAAAATATGCTTTTAGGAGAAAAGACTAAAATATGGCCACACAGAAACTTTTTAACTGAAAATTAAATGGGGATAAAATAAGTGATTAGATTCCTTCTTGTTATGGTGATAATACTAATACTAATAATATTGATATCAAACCATCATTTATTGTGTGTCTGGACCTGGGCTAGCCATAATAATAATAATAATGGCTCCCATTTATTATTGCTTACTTCATACTAGAGCTATGATTGATACTTTCACAAGTTATCTTCAATTCTTTTTTATATTTTGACATAAATGTTGTTATTGCATCTTACAGATGAAGTTAAGGCTTCTTGAGGTTAAGTAATTTACCTAAGCTTGCAGCCATCTAATAAACGGTGGAACCAAGAGATGCACTTAGATTTGTCTGACTCCAGAGTGTGTGCTTTCCAAACTCTGCCATACCAAAGCCTTTTCTCCTCAAACGTTAATCACCTTTACAAGGGAGTAAAGTACTTTCTTTCTTTTGGCAGCTGGCGATTTGCATTTTACCTAATGATCACTATTGCTGGAATTGCATTTCTCTATGATGTAAGTTATCTTTTTTATATCTTTCATTGGAATTTGTCTTTAGTCCTTAAAATTCTTGCATGTGAATTCCTTTAGAATATAATACTTTCAATAACATAACTAATATTTTTGAGATTTCCTTCAAGATTCAAGATTTCTCTCAAATATTGCTACAGCTATCTCAAGATATTTTTATTGCTGCAGAAGCAATACTATAATTGGTTTGGAAATAATTTTGTTAGTAAATTCACTTGTTTGAAACAGTTTTCTCTAGGAGACAGCACTATACACTCGTCTCAGATTCACTAGAAGTAGTGAAGTTCACACGACTGTTGTAAAGGAATACCTAGAAATACCTATAGAGGGAGAAATATGTACAACAAAAGTGCATCTTCCTGTGCATCTTCGCCTCCTATAAATAACATCAGGAAGAGCTTACGTTTTCTGCTAAAATCAGCCTTTGGCTCTGACAAACTTATTTCATCTCTCTTGGCTCCTTGTTTTTTCAGAAACCTTGGGTATATGACCTATGGGAGGTTTGGAATGGCTATCCCAAACAGGTAAGTCCCTCTGGTGTTGTTCCTTCTCCCCTTACTTCAACGCCCAGGCCCCTCAAATTGTCCCGTTAGTTAGGCCTTGGCCCCTGCTACTGTTTATCCACCACTGTGTCATCCTCTGGTGCTTTTTCTACCTGAGTTTCCTCATCCTTATTGACCCTCACTTATGTCATTCCTTGAGTTTGTTTACAGTTAATATAATTGCATATTTGGGTTTAAATCTACCATGTTATTATTTATTTTTTATTCGTACCACTGGATACATTTTCTTTTATACTTTCTTCTTGCTTGTCTAATAGGACAGTCAAATTTTAAAAAAATACTATTCCATTTCTTCCCTTATATTGACTTTTCAGTTATGCATGCTTTTGTTCTTTATCCTAGAGAGTACTATTTACATATTGATTTATCACAGTCTAATACAAATTAGCACTCTTACCTCTTTCCAGTTGCTGAAAGATCATTAGACTATATCATATATCTCCTCCATCAAATATTAACGTTTAAAACCTTACAAGTCATTGCTATTATTGTTTAATAAATCAATCAAGTTACCCTTTCCATGCTGTTCCTTGCTTCCTGCATTTTTGTGCTTCTATCTGGGATTATTATCCTTCTGGCTAGAGAATCCCCTGTGGTATTTTTTTTAATGGTGGGTCTATTAGATTTTGTCTTAAAATGTTGTCATATTGCCTTTGTTTTTGAAGGGATATTTTTGCTGGGTATGGAATTCTAGGTTAGCATTAATTTTCCTTTAGCAGTTTTAAAGATGTTATTCCATTGTCTTCTGGATCCCATCAGCTTCTTTAAGAATTCAGCTATCACTTCTATTTTTGCATCTTTGAACATAGTCTTTTTTCTCTGACTGATTTTAATATTTTGTCTTGTCTTTGAGCAGTTTTATTATGATATACATAAATATAGTTTTCTTTGAATTTATCCTGCTTTGTACACCCATAGTACATTTTGACTCTGTGGCTTAATGTCTTCAGTCAGTTGTAAAAAATTCTTAGACATTTCTTCTGTTCCTTAGTCTCTCTTCACTTGTCTGAAATTCCAGTTACAAGCGTGGTAATATGCTAGACCTTTACACTAGGCCTCACATGTCTCTTATAACTTTAACAATTTTTTCCATTCTCTTGTATCTCTGTGCTTCAGTCTGTTGTGAAACAACTCTCCACAGGTCTCTCACATTTCTGCATGTCCTGTGAAGTGAGGCACTGGCTGCCTTTTGTTTTGTATTATTTTGTCAAAGATGTTTGTATGGCAAACAACTCTGGAAGATAGAGATAATGCCTCCCTCTGAAGCAAAGGGTAGGCATGTTACTGTCCATTATAAAAGATGCAGGTCCTCTGGCTCAGGGTTCTTCTCTTGTAACACAACCCATTGTGTGAGCAGTTATCACCTGACCATCTTTGCTTAGCCATGTAGGAATTGGGGATGAGAGAACTGGCCCAAATACTGATACTCTGGCTACTGCTATTACTGTAAGTCATAATCTATCCTTTATCTCTGACCCAGGAGTCTCCTGTTTTCTGCCAGCATCCATGAAACTTGTGGCAAACTAACTTGTTAGCTTGCAAGTAGGGTGAAATCTCAGACACATCACAGTTTTGGATACTTTCTACTTTCATGTCCTCCAGTTCCTTAGTGCTTTCTTCAGCAGTGTCTAATTTATTGTTAAACATATCTTTTGAGTTCTTAATTTCAGTTATTGTATTTCTCAGTTCTCAAATTTTAATTTAATTTAATTTTATGTATTTTAATTTTTTTATTCCAGTTCTCTACTGAAATTTTCTATGTTTTAATCTATTTTTGAAGTTATTTTAAAGTCTAAGTCTGTTAAGTATAATATCTTAATCACCTGTGGACCTGTTTTCTTTCTTGTTCCTGTTTCCTTATGCTTGCTAGCTTTTGATTGAATGACAGATATTATATATAAAAATTGTAGATGGTGAGGATGACATTATCTTCCTTCTGAGAAGATTTATTTTCAGTTCCATTAGGCATTAGAGTAGGGGCAGACCACCTTTAGTCTGTCATTGAGCTGATTCAATGTGCACTGCAGTCTTGTGAGGGCAGATATATTTCCAACTTACCTGTAACCTAGGGTATTTTTCTTCAATGGCTTTAAATAAAAGACTACAATGTTTACTATGACTCCTTTTACTTGGTCAGCATAGATAGCAATTGACTTCCTGGCACTATGAGATTACCAAAACTCCTGCTTAACTTCTGATACTTCTTAGTCTCTGTGCTCCATACTGCTTATAAATTGGCAAATTCAGAATTTATGACATTTATATGGTGATTTTCTTTGAATTTATCCTGCTTAGGGCTTGTAGTACTTTTTGAATAAAGAGTTCACTTGAAATAAAGGTTCACTCTAATGCATTTTTCTTCTTTTTGGGGTCTTGACTCCACAGATTCTGTATGCCTTGGTTGCTCTCTGGTATCTTCAAACAGCTATTCTTTTTTGTCTTTTATTCATATTTTTTTAGTTCTCAGTAGGAGGGTCAGTCTTATACAGGCATTTGTCATAAAAGAAAGCAGAAAGTCTATCTCATTCTTTTATAATTTTATCAAGGATGATAAGTTGACCAGAAACATAAAAACGTAAGTCCTTTTAATACGTTAGTCTCAGCATTAAAGAGTCAAGGGTTAGACCATGAGGGACCTGGGCATTATCTAGGCCAAGCCCTGGTCATGTCATCTTCCAACTCCAATGTATTCTTATCTTCTCAAATGTATCAGTTATCTATTAGTACATAACAAACCATCCCCAACACTTAGTGCCCTAAAACAACTTTCTATTTGCTCATGACTTGGGCTGTCAATTTGGGCTAGATGCAGTTAAGCAGTTCTTTTATTCCATGTGGTGTCAGCTGAGTTCATTCATACATTTTCAGATAGTTGGGAGGCTGGCTCATGTACCTCGTGCCCTCGCTTATACTTTTGGCAGTTGGCATCTTGTTTCTCTTCTTTGTGATGTCCCTAGCAGGACAGGTTTCTTACATGGTGCTTATGAAGTCTCTGCTTGTATCACATATTCTTATATCCCCTTGACCAAAAACCAGGATCAAGTCCATAGTGTGGGTGGAGACAACACAAGGGCTTGGAAGACAACATTCATTGGGAGCATGAATGTATTATAACAATCTAATATACCAAGTAATATAATGTCTCAACTTAGCTAAAATAA